CCTCCAAGGATCACTCTGGAAATACCTTTTCCAGGACATATCTGTTTGTTCTTCTGGAAGTCCATGATGTATTCAGTATTATTCTCCAGCACCACAACTCAAAAGAATCAATTCTTCTTTCATCCATATTGATTGGCTAGCTCTCTTATGTGTAGCAGGTGATTGAGAAGACCATAGCCTGAATAAACGCAGGTTATAAACATGGATTTCACCTGATGGTATGCATAGGAATAAGATTTATTATATCTGTGGAAAAAACCACTGGAGAAGCTCAATATCAGCTTCAATATCAGTGAAAACAAGGCCAGGAGCTGATTGTGGAAGAGACCACCAGCTACTCATATGCAAGTTCAAGCTGAAGCTGAGGAAAATTAAACCGAACCCACGGGAACCAAAATATGACTTTGAGTTCATCCCACCTGAATTTCAGAACCATCTCAGGAACAGGTTTGAGGCCTTGAACACTAATGAGTGAATACCTGATGTGTTGTGGGAGGATGTCAAATGTATCACCCAGAAAGAGTGCAGATGGTCATTACAAAGACAGAAGAGGAAGAAAAGACCAAAATGGATGTCAGAAGAAACTCTGAATATTGCACTGGAGTGCAGAGAAGCCAAAGCACAAGGAAGAATTAAAGATACTAAAGAGCTGAACAGAAGATTCCAAAGGGCAGCACAGGATGACAAAGCAAAATATTACAATGAAATGTGCAAGGAGCTAGTGTCGGAAAATCAAAAGGGCCGAACTCGCTCAGCATTTCTTAATCTCAAGGAACTGAAGAACAAATTCAAACCTCAAGTTGCTATAATCAAGGATGCTTTAGGCAAAATATTAAATGATCCAGGAAGTATTAAAAGAAGATGGAAAGAGTATACTGAGTCACTGTAGCAAAAGGAACTGGCAGACACAGAAGAATGTAATGAAATAACATATGAGCAAGAGCCTATGGTGATGAAGAAAGAAGATCAAGCTGCTTTGAAGGAAATGCAAAAAAATACCAATTGACATATTTCAGCTAACAGATGCTGCCCTGGATGTGCTCACCAAGTTGTGCCAAGAAATCTGGAGAACAACCACTTGGCCAACTGACTGGAAGAGATCCATATTTGTTCCCATTCCAAAGAAGAGTGACCCAACAGAGTGTGGAAACTATAGAATGATATAATTGATTTCACACGCAAGCAAGATTCTACTGAAGATTATCCAAAATCGACTGGAACAGCACATCAGCGGAGAATTGCCAGAAGTCCAGGCTGGGTTTAGAAGGGGTCGTGGTATGAGGGATATTGTAGCCGATGTTAGATGGATCTTAGCTGAAAGCAGGGAATGAATACCAGAAGAATGTCTATCTGTGTTTCATTGATTATGTATGCAAAGGCGTCTGACTGTGTGGCTCATAACAAACTGTGGATGACTCTGAGAAGAATGGGAATCCCAAAACACTTGATCATTCTAATGTGAAACCTATACTTGGACCAAGAGGCAGTTGTCATAACAGAGCAAGGAAACAGTGCATTCAAAATTGGGAAAGGCGTACGCCCGCGATGTGTCCTATCTCCATACCTTTTCAACCTGTATGCAGAACAGATTATCCCAGAAGCTGGGCTCTATGAGAAGTGTGGCATCTGGATTGGTGGAAGATCTATTAACAATCTGCGTTATGCAGATGACACAATCCTGCTTGCTGAAACTGAGGAGGACCTGAAATGCTTGCTGCAGAGGGTCAAGAACTGCAGCCTTCAGTATGGATTGAAGCTCAATGTCAAGAAGACAAAGATTCTCACCACTGGACCAATTGGCAGCATCAGTATGAATGGTGAAGAGATTGAGATTGTTAACAACTTTAATTGGCTTGGCTCCATGGTCAACACTCTTGGCACCAGTAGCCAGGAAATAAAAAAAAAATGTATTGCAATGGAAAAGTCTGCTGTTAGGGACCTCTCCAGGATACTGAAGAACAATCGTGTCACTCTGGAGACTATGGTGCATCTGATACAGGCTATGGTTTTTGCAATCACTTATTATGCATCAGAGAGTTGGACAGTGACTAAGGAGGATGTAAGGAGAATTGATGCCTTTGAGCTGTGGTGCTGGACAAGAGTATTGAATGTACCATATACTGCCAAGAAAACAAACAGATTCATCCTGGAGAGGGTTAAACCAGACTGCTCCTTGGAGGTAAAAATTCTGAGGCTTCGTCTAATATACTTTAGACATGTTGTAAGGAGGGAGAGGGTCTTGGAGAGAGACATCATGCTTGGGAGGTGGATTGATTCAGTGACTTGAGTAATCGGGATGGGTGTGTCAGAGGCAGTGAGATTGGCACAGGATAGAGCAGGTTTAGGGTTGTTGTACATAGGGTTGCTGAGTCGCAAGCGACTCGACGGCACATAACAACAACGATCTTTAAATTGACATAATTTCTCTTCAGTATTTTGATACTACTTTTTTTTGCCTGACTGAGGTAAAACTCTTTTGTTTTAAATGAAATTTTATTTTAATTATGATTTTAACAATCACAGAGAAGTTAGATTTTCATTCATTCATTGTTGCCCAACTTGGGGATTACATATTCTATAGAAAGGAGGGCATAAGAAATTCCCCTTTGGACTCATGATCTTTTAATTGTTTTACATGAGAGGAAAAAGAATATCACAGAGATTAAGTAACTTTCCCTAGGTTGAATAATGAGACTAATTATTGTGTTGAGTGCTTATTATATGTTGTGCTGTCAAATGCTAAGTCAACAGTTGAAATCCACCAGTTGCTCTTTAAAAGAAAACGTGGGCAGTAACCTTTTATAAAAATTTACAGCCTTGGAAACATAAACAGAGAGGATTAGCTGTGAGTCAACATAGGATATACTACGAGTTAGAATTGACTCAGAGGCAGTGGATTGTATTTGTGTGGGCCATGGTGAGTGCTTAAATAGTTTCTCAGTTTAATGAGACAGTGTGCTTTTAGGGGGTTTCTGGGGAACTTCTATTTGTTCTATTCAATACTGCATTGAATGTCACAGAAGAGCACATTTTACCAATGCCACTTAAGCCTACAATACTGATGTTGTGTACCATGACTTGGAACCAATCTATAGCTGTCTCTCTGATGGGTTTTCAGGGGCTGTTAATCTCATGAGAGGATATTGCCCATCCTTCTCCCACAGAGCAGCTGATATAACAAATAAATAATGAAGGGTTGACTCCAACATTTGAATCAATCATCCAATTCCGTGACTGATAACATCTACCAGTAAACACTTAGATTGTGTTCCCAGCACAACTTTAAGTTTGCCTCCTCCTCCTGTGTTTGTTGGCATGAATTCCAACATTTGTCTTTTGAACATATTAGAAATGGATTGGCCCATCTGATTTTTAATTTTCCCCACCACTTCATTCCAATAGCACCAACTATCACTGGGAGTTTACACTGTTGTTGTATACTGTTAAGTTGTAACCAACCAATCGCTGACCCTCTAGTGGGCTTACAGAGGCAGTAAATCCCATTGGAGGAGATTACTCATCCTTCTCCGTGGAGCACTAACGGATTTGGACTGCATGCCTTGTTAGTAGTGTAATTCCTTACTATTATGCCAAAAGAGAAGGGGATTTTATCTTCTAGAGAAAAGCGGTTTGAGTACATATTACAAGACTACTTCAAATGAGAGACATGGGCTGGGGGTGGTAGGAGGGGACAGGATGACACCGGAGTAAGTATTGGACTGTGCCGGGATTTTGCTTCTTTCTCAATTCTTTCTCCTCCTTTTACTTACCATTTCCACCATTTCTATCCCCACCTACTCTTGGAACGTAGATTTCCTACTATGAAAGCTAGTTTTCTGAATCCTATATGGAGACTAGATCTGATCTTACCTGTCCCATTTTCTCCCTTATCAAAGGAGAGGTCTTAGAGAGCAAGTCCTGTGATTGTTAAGAAATCAGGCAAAATTAGTGCCTGAAAGAATTAGAAAATGGGTACCCAGACAAGAATCCATTAGTTTGTTAGTTAAAAAACTCCTTTGTTTCCTTTTCCAATCACTGTCACCTGAGCTAATTTTAGAGGTCTATAAATAATGATGAGAATTCTAGTAAACTGACAGCAGAGTGGAAATGTCCTTGGCCATTTTTCTTCCTACAAAGACTCAAGGAGAATATTTTTGGGCTAAGAAGATCCACTTTACTAGCTGTGTTCTCCAACTTCTAAGGCTGCCTTCCTCCACTCCCTTTCAACCTGTGGTGCTCATAAATTATTTTCACATCCCTTTCATCTGTCAAGTATTCTACATGTGCTTTTGTAAAGTTTTTGCTAAGCAAGTTTACTGTAACCAGATTAGACAGTAGTGTTTTAGTGATAGGGCCTGAGACAGCGATTTGCTTGCAATTTTGTGTTTTACATGAAAGACTTTATCACCCCCTGTGTACTGCTCTTGACCTCAGTTTTAGGTGTAATACTTGTTTGATTTTATATCTGTGATTAAACAAAGGCCTTTCTGCATAATCAGTGTTGACCAAAATGTCTTAAAACAAAGGAAAGTGCAGAGTTTAAATTCACAGTGGAGGATTACCCTCTTCGTATTTTCATATCCATGGAATAAATATTTCAACATATTATCTACAACTAATAAAAATACCTTTGAACTTCTAGTCAAACTGATGGATACAGAATTGTGTCTACTGGGGAATGGAAAGCGTTTAGTTTCTACAAAGATTGTGGGTCATGTTTTATCTTCTCTGTAAGTGGTTTCATAATCAGTAAGTAGCCAGCAATATTGTAGAGAGTGCTTGTGTCAAATCCATCTTGGCATACATGAGAGGTGCCTCCTCAGAGTCTCCAGGAATTCAAGTAGGTGGGAGTCATTCCTCAGGCTGTTGTCCTGCCATAGCCTCCGTTTCCAACCCATATCTTGCATTTAGCCCAGTACAAAACCTCTCCCTAAGTAGGAAAATTTGACATTTCTCATCAATGATATGTGTGACATTTTAATTTTTCCCCCCTCTTTTAGACTGAAAACTATTCTTTTGACTCCAATTATGTGAACAGCCGAGCCCATTTAATCAAAAGGTATGTTGGTTTGCTTATCTTTTCTCTACATTTTCCATTTTTTACATCAATTCCTCTACTTGGTTGCACCACTAAAGTTAATATAAAAAGAAGAATTTTAATTTTACAAAATCATGGCTTTCCCAGAATTTAAAATTAGTAAATTCTGTTTATTGCACAAATTTTGGAAAACTAGAAAACACTAAAAACAAATGAAAACCATTAATAATCTAAAAGTAATAGGTGCTAGAATTTTATCATATTTCTTTGCATCAAAATGAATATATAATTGGAATCATGTTAAAATCATAGTTTATGTGATAATTTAGAAATATATTATTAGAAAGTATTTAAAAAATACTATTGATATAAAACTTTGTGTTGTGCTTTCTTTTATGTAAAGGAAATTCTTAAACCTTTTTCATGTGGAATGTCCAACGAATTCTATGACTGCTATTACTTTGACAATTTTGGAATCATTTTCAGTACATTTTCATGACAGAGAAACTAATTCCTTATCTTCTTAAATACTGTGTATATGAAGGAAAGATAGAAGATACTTTACCAATTAAATATTTTTTAAAATATGTAACTGTTAGGTAGATAATGAGCACTACATTGGAACAGATTTGAGGAAGAACTATTTGAAAGGAATATATGATTAGGCATTATATGTATGACAACAATCTGGAAAAAAGGCACCTTGCAAAGTGGACTGATGGAGGGGAAAGGGAAGAAAATGTGCAACAATTTATAAGTGAAAGCCTATCCTTTCTGTAAACATACGTTAAATCACAATAAAAAGAATTTTTTAAAAATATTTAAGGGTAATTAAAATGTTGTGTGCTGTCGAGTCAGAACCAACTCATATCTCGTGGAAAACCACCAGCCGGTTTTCTGAGGCTTATCTGGGAGGACATTGCCCATCCTTCTCCTACAGAGCAAATAGTAAAGTTGAATCATGTGCCTTTGAGATTGAAGCACAGCTTCTTACCACTAGACCACTAAATAAAACTTTCAAAGTAGAGATTTACATGATTTAATGGATATCACTCAGTTGCGCACAGAGCCACAATGTATGTGAGTACAGTGCTAGAGGCTGCTAAGGAAGATTCTAGTTTGTGCAGTGGGCATTAAAGTAGAGCAAAGGAGGACAAAACAAGAGAACCAGGAATTCCTCCAAGGAGGGATGTCCAAGCAAAGCAGAGAACTTCTCATGCATAAAAATCAGTACTGACCATTCAAATAGTTCCTTTATTACTGCATCATATAAATAGCATATTGAATGGTCCAGTGGTTATTATGCAGCTAAAATTGAACTGATTTTATTTGTTAAAATAATAGAAATGAAATAGAGAGTCAAGCAGATTATGTTAGAGTTTCTGTATAGGAGACCTGAAAATTCTATTATTTTGCCGGCTTTCATCCTAGCAGAGTATGATTCAAGGTACAGACTAGCTTGTTATACAAGCAACTTTCTTATTTGATTTAATTTAAAATCCTGAAATAACCCTTGAATGTTGGTTTGGGATTGTTTTTTAGTTTAAGTAATAATCACTAATTATCTGAAAATGTATATCTCAGTATTACCAGTACTACCAGTCATAGCATATCTGGAAGATTTTTTGAGGAGTTGGAAAAAAAATCCATTACCAATATATTTTTTTATCCCACAGGACTAAAACAAACAGTAAAGAATTCTAATTTTTTTCCATTGTTTTATCTTTGTTTTTTGCATTCCCCCCGCTTCTATAACATCTCGTGTGAAAAACAATGTATATGAATTTTGGAAGTAAACCAGTTATTTTGTCTTATGAGGAAAGAATAATAATCAACATGTACTGACTATAGTGACCCTGCAGCAGGGGTTTGTTTTGTTATTTCCTTCTTTGTAACTTATTTCAAATGCGCTTTGTTAAAAAAAAAGCCAAAGTATATGAATGAAACACAGAGTATATTAATTTCATACACAAATCAATGTAAAATAAAAATAAAATAAAACATCTGGTGAAAAATTGACTGGCCTTATGCTTATAGGATTCTTGGACCAGCTCCATGTGCCTGGAAATTCTATGACCAAGTAAAGCTGATAATAGAGTTTCAGAGTCTGACAGAAAGCCAAAACTCCCAGGGTTTCTCGCTATCTTTTTTTTTTTTTTTTTTTGGTTTCTCACTATCTTAAGTCAGCCCTGAATCTCCAGTTCACAAGACAAATTGATATTATGAAAACTTAAATTTAATCATTTAGCTTCTAGGATATGTGCTTTTCCACAGTAGCTTTGAGTTCACTACAAAACCCTGATTTAGATTAATCAGATGCTTTTTGTTGACACTTGTTATGTGTCATTGAGCGGTCTGTGACTCATAGTGACACTTCATACACCAGCTCTGAACCCTGCCCAATCCTGAACCAATTTCACTGACTCCAACATATCTATCCCCATTACCCCAGTACTGTGGCAATCTATCTCATCCAGGTTCTTTCTCTCTGCATTGTGCCTCCACTTTTCTAAGCATGATGTTCTTCTCCAAAGACTGATCCCTGCTAGCCATGTACCCAAACTTTGTGAGATGAAGCTAAGCTTCAAAATCCTTCCCTCCAAGAGACAGCTTGGTTTCGCCCTACCCACGACAGACCTGTTTGTTCTCTTGAAAGTCCATAGTATTTTCAAGACTGTTCTTCAGCAACACAATTCAAAGGTATTGATTTTTCTTCTATCGTTCTTCTTGTTGTTGTTGATTGCCTTCAAGTTGAGCACAACTCACAGCAAGCCTATGGACAAAAGGCCTAAAGCCCCTCTACAACTATTAACATTTATCCAAGTTCATATAGTTTCTGGAGGCAAGTTATTTAGGAAGTGGATGCCACATCTGCTTCCAAACCTGTCATAGAATGTTATTGGTTGAGTCACCTGCAATGCATAGCAACCCTATGTACAGCAGCTCTGAACCCTTCCCTGTCCTGAGCCAGTCTCACTAATTCTGATACACCAACCTCCATTGCCCCAAAAGACTTGTCATTCTTAGACTATCAGAAATTCAAGCCAGTTTTGGAAGATGCCGTTGCATTAGAGACATTATCGCCAATGTCAGATAGATCTTGGCTGAAAGCAAAGAGTACCACAGGGGTGTCTATCTATGTTTCATTAACTACGCAAAGGCATTTGACTCTGTGGATCACAACAAACTGTGGTTAACCTTGAGAAGAATGGGAATCCCAGAACATTTGATTATGTTCATGTAAAACCTATACTCGGACCAGGAAGCAGTCCTCATAACAGAGCAAAGAAACACTTCACAGTTCAAAATCAGGAAAGGAGTGTGTCAGGGTTGCATCCTGTCTCCATAGGATTTCAATCTCTCTGTGGAACAGATCATTTGGAGAGCTGAACTTTAAGAAGAAGAATGTGACATTAAGATTGGAGGAAGACTCATCAACAACCTGTGTTATGAAGATGACACAACCTTGCTTACTAAACTAAAAGGTATCAATTCTTCTTTTGTCACTTTTTTTCTGTATACCATCAAAATTGGATCTGACTGGCACAGGACGAGATTGCCCCTGCTTCTCCAGTGGAGCATCTGGTGGATTTGAATGGCACACCTTTAGGATTGCAGTGCAGTTTCTTGCCACTAGGCCACCAGAGCTCCCTCTCTTCTTCTGTCATCCATAGTCTATCCAGTTCTCTGATGCATAGCTAGTAATTCTGATATTGAGATTGTACACACCTTTAGTTTGTTTGGCTCCACAGTCAACACTCTTGGCACCAGTAGCCAGGAAATTAAAAGGAGCATTGCCATGGGAAAGTCTGCTGTTAGGGAC